AGCTTGCAAGGCCCAGTTTACTCAGAGCTGCCTTACTGTGGAGGACCTACGCCACCTCCATCAAAGATGAAGGGTAAAGCCTTATCCACAGGAGATGATACCATCTTCCTTTCTCTATGTTTTTCTTCTTCTAATTCCTAGTGATTTTAATTTGCAGGGGTCAAGAATCTGCATTTTTAAAAAATAATTTGTTAATTTATTCTGAAGGGTAGAGCTTTTGTGGCACAAACACCACCCTTGAAGTAAATATAATACTAGTTGTCTACAGTATGTTAAAAACTATAAAGCAGAGATAATGTTTAGAATTTCTATGAAGCCAAGAACATTTAACAGTCTAGTGCTCAGGCCAGAGGAAGGCATTACTACAAAGGAAAGGATAGCGATTACATCCTTTATGAATTTAAAATTGTAAGTTCCAAATAAATTATTACCAAATAAAATCAATTATGTACAAAGAAGTATGTAGCTAAACCAGTGAGATTTCTTCTCACTGTGCAAGTCTGTTTCATTCTTCAAAAATCAACTAAGTAATTCGTCACATTTACAGTAACAAGGAAAATCATGTAATCAGGTGACTACACATAGGAAAACACTGGAAAAACAGAGCAGCTATTTGCAACAATAGTTTTCTAAACTTCACAGAGAAAAATTCATAGGAATTGGTAATATAACTTAGAGATAGACTGCATGCCATCGTGTTTGAGGCCTTGGATCTTCAACAATGCAAAACATACCAAGGAACAACTCAAGCCGGTTGGTGGTGGCGTGTGACTTTAATCCCAGCACTCGGGAGGCAGAGGCAGGTGGATCTCTGTGAGTTTGAGTTTTAGACACAGGGAAACCCTGTCTAAAAAACCCAAAACCCCAAAACAGAAAAGGAAACAAAAGCAAAAGAATGCAAAAAAAAAAAGAGAAAGAAATGAAATGGCTGTATCTTCTTAATTCTATTTTATTTGTCTATTTATTTACTTATTTTAATATATAATCAATGGAACCTAGGTCCTAGTACATGCTAGACAAGTGATCAACCAATGAGCTACATTCCCAGTATCTCAATAACTGCTTTTTTTGAAAAACAGATTTTCCATGCAATATATCTTGATTGCCATTTTCCCTCCCTTCCCTTCTCCCAGTCCTTCCTACTTCTCTTCCACTCTGGATCTACTCCCTTTTTGCCTCTCATTAGAAAACAAACAGGTAGGGGCTGGAGAGATGGCTCAGAGGTTAAGAGTACTAGCTGCTCTTCCAGAGGGCCCAGGTTCAATTCCCAGAATCTACATGGCAGCTCACAACTGTCTGCAATTCCAGTTCCAAGGGATCTGACATCTTCACACATGCAGACAAAACATCAAAGCACATTAAAAATGATTTTCTCATTTCTCAAAAGAGAAAACAAACAGGTATCTAAGGAGTAATAAAATATAAGACCAAACACATTGGAGTAGGTCAGAACAAAGAGTAGGAAAGGAGTCCAAGAAAAGGCAAAAGGACTCACTATTGATGTCCTATGTGTGTTCAAGCACTCGGGAATCCCATAAAAACACAAAACTGGAAGCCATCATAGATACAAAGGACCAGCAGGGTAAAAAGAGAAAAAAATTAGAAAAACAAGAAAGGAAAAAGCCCAGCCAGGACATTTATGAGGCAAGGAACCTTGAAAGATGTCACTGAGTTTGTTTTGTGTTGGCCATCGACTGCTGGGCACGTGGCCTACCTTGAAGAGTGGTTTGTTTCCCCACCCGGTGAGAAGAGTCTGTATTTAATAAGCACCTTGGTATTCTCATGCAGTTAGTCTCTGGCGCCATAGTACCATGCCTTGAATAAACTTAGTTATAAAAAGGATCAACAGTGACACTTATTAAAAATACAAATTTCAGGCCCCACAACAGATAAGTATCTCTAAGGGGAAGCCTGAGAACTGGGGTTTTTAACAAGGCCCTGGTGATTCTCAGGGAACCCTGGGACACTGCTATGGTGACTTCTATTTTGTATTTTCTATTCTAAATGTAAGACAAAACTTCTTACTTAGAGTAAGGACACTCCATTTGAAAGAAAGTGGCTACAGAAAGGGCAACACATTTTTGTCTAGCCCAGACTTTTTGGTGTTTCAGACCCATAAACCCAACTGTTTATACTTCCCTTTGAAGTCGTAAAAACACCCTAAACTCTTTGTTCAAGTCAAAAATCACCATTTTCCTCTAACCCTGGCTCTTTTCCAGTGTTCCTCATATCTCCATGATGGCATTAGCAGTGATCTAATGGGACCACCAGAAATCTCCAGTTATTTTTAATTTCTCGTTCCTTAAATCTTGATCTGAATCTGTCACCAAGACCTCTCATTTTACTTTCTAGCTTGTTCCATTTGCCCCACTTATTTCCACTTCCTTGTTCTTATCTCCTTTCACTTGCACTGTGTCCAACTGCACTCATCACTTGCATACCCTCACTGGTCCAGAGTTGACCATGCCTGCGCTCTCACATTTAGTTTGGATCCCATCAAATCTGCTGTTTTCTCAAGGAAAGGATTAACTTTTGTTTCTTAAAAAACAAGGCCAGAAAAACAGATCTTTCAGTGTGGTGCCCAGTTTCACACTGTATCACTGTCTCCCTGTAGTCTATGACCCAGTCACAATGGCCTCTTTTTAGTCTCTTAGGCTTGGTAATGCCTGCTTCTAACAAAAGGCCTTTACATATGACATTCCTTGTGTTTTTCCACAGTTATGTTTCTTACTCTTCGGATCTAATTTGAGTGTGACTTCCTTAAGGAAGCTTACTCTAACACCTCTGACCAGATTGATGAATGCCCCTCCTGTAAATTTTCTTAACACTTATGGAAATTGATTTTTTTTTTGTGTGTGTGGCTGAATTAGACCATTTAGGATTCCACCAGCTTGAACAGTTTGTTTCCTCTCTCAGAGTATTCTCTGGATTTCACTTCTTTAGATGCAATCCTGTTAAGTTTAGGCTTAGTAGGGAGTCATATTTGCGATCTGGATTTGCTAAAGCAGCCGCTTCCCTGGCTTTCTGACATCGTCCCTGGCTGCTGCGCTATGTTCTAACACCTTGAACACAGGTTTACACAACAACACTTAACTTGCAGTTTTTCTCTCACTCCTGTTGGATGCTTTACTACAGCTCTTGTACATTTCCTTATATTTAACCCAGGGGCTTGCTCCGTAGTCTGTGGTTTAGCAATCCATCCCATGTTTAGTTCTCTGCTGCCTCTCCTTCCTGTCCCTTGACAAACTCTTCCTTTTTACTCCCTTTTTCATTTCTTTCATGGTACCGAGGACTGAACCCTGGGCCTTGGACACACTAGGTAAGTGTCCTACCACTGAATTATATCCTCAGGGCAGCTCTTACCTCCCCATATAGGAGACAGAACGGCATAGTGCTATCTTTAACAGCGTCCATGTCCTCCCACTTTGTTTCCTCATTTGAAAAATGATACTTGCTTTGAAAGATTTGGGGATGATTTAGACTTTATGTTTTCCTTCAAATCTGACTAGGTTAAAACTTTTTCTAACTTTATTCCCTTAGGACATTTTCTCTCAGGATTAGATTTTTAGACTCTATTGTAACCAGCTAGCTCTTCTCTGTCTTGCTGTCCTGTTTTTATTTTGAAACTCCCTTTATGACAGTCCTTGATGGCTAATTGAAAAACTAGAGGACAAAATATTAGCAAGAGTCAAACATGTTCTTTCCTGTTCTCTTGAGGAAAGACCTGAGACAAGATGCAGTAGCTGCACAGCAGCACAAGATTTCAATACTTAGAAGCTGCAAAGGCTAGGAAATAAAATGGTAAAATTTCCAAATCAAACCTGGTGAAACACGTGTTCATTTTCTTCCACACTTGTGAGGCGACTCACACTGCACACTAAAGTTTAGATCTCTCCTTCAATTCTTTTTACAGAGCTGTAGTGGAGGATTTTAGCAGTTAGAGAATCATCTTACCAACTCGATACACTACGTCTATGTCATCTTCTTCTTCTTCGCCTGCGTCATCATTGTAAACATAGCATATTATACCCGTTACACCTTGGAAATCAGAAACATTTTCTTTAGTAACTAAAGTACAAGAACCCATAAAATGATTGCACACAGGACAAAACATAAAAGCCTTTGTTGAAGTTTCCCTTCTTGTTACGGGTACACATCTCTAGTTGTTTTTTTTTTCCTCCTCATTCAAGTGTCGTTTATTATTGATACTTGACTAGGAAATTTAACATTCTTTAGGCAGTTTTCAACTCTTAGGAAAATATATCATGATGGTTTTAGGCAGGCTCAGTTATTTAGAGCTTTAGGAGAGTGTTCTTGAGGTTCAGAGTGTAAAGGTGTAAAGCTCAGCCTTCGTTGCTACCCACAGGTTTGAAAAGGCCATCCTTTGCATTTGAAGTTCATCTCATTCTGGTGAGGTAAGCGCCCAGTCATCAAAGGACCCTTTTTGACGTCCATGAGCAACAGGCAACTCAAGCCCTCACAGGATCTAGCCAGGCCTATATATATGTCTCCACTGGCTTGGCTGGGACTGGTCTCTTCTGAGCTATGTAGTGAACTTTTTTTGCTGCTTGCTGGATCCGTGACAGCTGATCTGGGACCTCAGGTACCTGTTCTTTTTCCAGACACACTCGTCTAGACCTTCAACGCCCCTCCTCTTTGTCCCCTCCACTCTTCTTTCGCTCAGAAGGACTGGGACACTCAGGATCAGTTTCTTTCCCCCGGCGAGACCTGGGAGAAGGGGGCGGGGGTTGTTCAGAAGCAAAGGAGGCAAAGGAAGACTAAGAGTCAAAGACCACTAAGAGTCATCGGAACAGCCATGCCCTGCAGTGATCTAAGGACCGCCAGCCTACACGGGCCGCAGAAGATACGCAGCCTGAATCCTCAGGCCAAAGGCATCGCTCGGAAGCACCAAACGCTGGGCGGGCCGGGTCACGTGACGGGGGCAGCGGCGCGCGCCGGCCGCGGCGCCCATTGGCTGGCGGCGGGAGCGCGGGGTTTGATGGGAAGGCATGGGCCGGGCCCAGCTCTCTATCAGTAGCTGCTGCTGCTGCCTGCTCTAGAGGCGGGCTACGCTGTGGCGACCCGGGCCTGCCGGAGCGGACGCCGGGGCCGGGCGGTTCCCACTTTCCTCAGGTAGGACGGTGAGCGGGGAGGGCCGCGTAGACGGAGGCGTTCCGGGCCGCGGGAAAGCAGTTCCCGGGTTCCTCGGCGCGCCGACCCGGGTGCCTCCTCCGCCCATGCCAAGTGGCCTAGGGCTCGGTGGCGGCTGGGGACACGCCGCGCGGGGCTGAGCCCCCGTCCACGGTTGCCACCTTCTCCCGTGGATTGCCCGGCACAGCGGCCCGAGCGGCGCCCGAGTGCACGAGACCCGGCTCAGCCTTGCCCCCAGGCCGGTGTTCTCCCGGCTGTGTTCTCAGGGATTCCGCGCAGTGGTTGTCCGAAGCTCGAACCCCTGGCCCCACCTGTGCTGAGCAGTGCCCGAAGGTCCCAGAAAGCACATTCCCTAGCTGAAATAGCCACCCCGAGAGTTCTCTGATCACCTACCTCCGCGTCCACTTGAGCTGGCCGGATGGGAAGAATTGAAAACTGTCAGTGTCATGCTGCTCAGACCGCGGTGTGGGCGTGGATTGTGAGCGACTTGGAGGAGCCACTCCACGACCATTGTCCTTATTTATTAGAAGGACAGCGGCCGGCCTGAGGGGTGGAGAGGAAGGACGAAGATGAGTGATGTTAGGGACAGCTGGGGCAAAGCAACTCCAAACGACATCAGTAGATTTAATCCTTTGATGATGTCTTTTCGGACGGAGAGTTCGGACTGGTGAATTTAAGTTTTGTGTGTGCAGTTGTAAGCAACACCTGTGACTCACTGAGTTTTCCATGTTCTGCTCTTCCTTTTTGGCTTCTGGTTTGTTGTGCTGAGAGTCTATTTTCGGTCTCAGTGGCCTCGGTCTCAGCGTTGACAAAATTGCCCAGAAGTGTAAAGAATTATGCGTAAATTTAGTGTCAGACATATGTTGAAGCTGGCAGCAGGACTAATCCCTAGTCCCCAAAAGTCTCCATAGTGCCTTCTTCGGGGAACGGAGTTGATTGTGAATACATTTTCTTAAACAAGATTGGCTCATTTAAACGTAGAGTTTTTAAAAAGTTCCTTGACGTCTATTGTCAGCACAGTAGTGCTATTAATAAACGTATATTGTGTTTATATGTTGGAAGAATGCAAGGTAGGACAGGTGACTGTCATGAAGGTATGATTTCATATAGAAGTCCCCCCTTTATTTGTGGCAGTCATCTCACACATCTAAAGTGCTTTTAGAGATGTGCTTCTTTTCATTTATTTTGGGCAATAAACCTGGTACAAGAGATTTCAGAATTGCCTGTTTGGATATTTGAAAGCGATTTTGAACAAGTTACATTGAATTCTAGATTGTGTAGTAACATGGAAGTGCTGTTGAAGATTGACTAGTTTATATTTAAGTTTGGAACTTAAGTTAAACACAAAACTCTTGCTATTTTCTATGAAGGCCTACAAGTTTATTATAATGAGAAGTGCCTGAAGAATATTGTTATTTATTTCCATGCTACAGTAAATGAGAAAAATATTTTCAGTAAAGATACAAACTTATTTTTAAACATTTTAAGTTATGAAATAAATGCTCATTTTTATAAAATGTTAGGCATGTGCTTCATTTAAATTTTACATGTGGGTTTTTTTTTGTAATAGCAGTAGTAATGGCTACAATTTATTAAACACTATGTGCTGAACATTGCTAAGTGATAAATAATTTCATTTAACTTATACAATTCCATGGAATATAAGTATTTTCACTGCTTTATAAACCAAGGCTTAGAGAGTTTATGTAATTTACCCAAGATCATATAGCTAGTATATAGCTCAACCATGTTTTGAATCATTATCCCATTGTTTTAATGTGATTTGAAATGAGTTGAGAATTTGAGAAAAACATTTAAGATTTTAAGTTCTGTCACTTAAACTTGAGTGTGAATAATAGAAAATACCATGTAATTTGGTAGGCATTGTTGCTTATGGAAAAACACGCTTTGGAGACTGAAGAGATGACTTAGAGGTTTGGAGCACCCACAGCCATCTGTAACTCTAGTGCTAGGGGATCTGGCGCCCTTTTCTGACCTCCCTGGGCTCGAGGCACACTTATGGTGCTCATATACATGCGAGCAAAACACTCATACAAATACAATTAAGTAAATCTTAAAAAAATAGAACACATTTAGATTTACTCAGTCCTTAAGGTCGTGCATGCTAAGTCCCATTGTGATATCAGTTGGAAAGAAATGGTACAGTTTGGAGACAAGCTGCTTGAGGTCTAGTTAATGGCAAGTGAGTGCTTTGTGCTTTAGAAGGAAATGCTAGAGTTACTTGGCAACAAAGTAGAGATGGATTAGAAAATGGCAATAACTACAGCAAGAGAAAATTTATTCTGAGTAATTACTGTATTATCAGGTACTGGAGTAAATAGTGTAGGCTGTGTTATTTAAGCCTTTCAGCATTTAAGAGGATTCTAACTATACCTCTTTTGCAGAAACAGAGAAATAGGGATGTTTAAGTAATTTAGTTGCTCATTGTTTCACAGTAAATGATGGGCAATCAGAATTGGCGTTAAGTTGTCTAGTTGGAAAGGACAGAAGTAGTGGGTGAGATAGAAAAATGAACTTAAAAGTATAGAAATATTTAATTTTTTTGTATTTCTTATCTATTAAAAACTATATGTGTATATCATTTATAGTAAATTAGCTTCTTTAATACTAGAATTTGATAGAAAAAATTTCTGAATCAATAAGGATTGACTCTTTGCTTATGAATATGAAAGCATGGATTTAATGACTGTCACTAACATTTCAGAGGGTAAATTTAAAAGCACAACTTCTTGCTTCAGGGAGACTAGAGACTAACCCATAGTTTGTTTCTTTAACACAAAACATTCTCCAAACAAATAATTGATATAAAAATAGATATTTATTATGAATTATGAGTATAGTTCATATACTCATTCAAAAGGTAATATACAGTAATGACTGTTTTAGGCCGTTGCTCTAAAAGTTCTAACTGGAGTCTTAGAAATTTAGCAAGCCATTTAACTCCTCTCTAATGCAGATTTTGGCACTTGTATTTAATCTGATAAGGGAATTGGGCTACCTGATACATTGCCATAAACACTGTCTCTTGTGTTTATAACTCATTCTCCACTTTAGCAACTCTGCTTATCAACTATTTGAGAAGATCCAAGGTGCTTTCCTATATTTTATTTCACTTGGTTTTTATTTTTATTTTTTACGGTGCTGAGAGTTGAGCCCAGGACTCCACATGTACTAGGCAAATGCTCTGCTTCTGACCTGTATCCTCAGCTATCTATATCTTATACATAGATATTCTAGCCTATATTGATATATTCCAGCCTACGCTATATAAGTATTCTCCATTTCTTATTTTATGCTGTTGGGAATAACCGTTGCATTAAAAAAATTCAAAACTAAAATGCAATGTTTGGTTTTGCTACTTAGTATCTTTGGAGCTTACCATATTACTTCTTCAGCCTCAGGGTCTTAGTTTGTGAAGTGGAGGGACAGTATCTAAATGATTGAGTTCTAGCAAACCATCTGTTTCAGGGCCCTTTAGAGATCTGGAGCCAAGTGAGTACCTGATGCTGTCATTGATTTTCAACAGTAAAAACCTGTCTAACCCAGGCAGGGCATGATGGTGCAAGTTTGTAATGCCATTGCTCAGGAGGCTGAGGCAGGAGGGGGAAGTTGAGGGTAGGCTAGACATGTAGGGAGACCCTGTCTCCAAAAACCCAACCAAAACAGAAAATTTGGTCTCAAGGTGTGATGGCTACACGCTTGACTTGGAAGGATGTAGTTCTTTTAGAAATGGAACTATGTAGTCCAGTTGTGCATGAAACACTGTCAGATATCACATGCTAGTTTCAAAAGAGCGGGGTGATGTGTAATTTGAGAATATCAAATTAAGTAGTTCATCTGAATTTCTTTCCTTCTACCTTGCTTGGTAACTATTTTTAGAATCTTAAGGTTTTAAGATTTGTTTAATATCTTGTCTCAGAAATGTATTCTTTTTGTTCATTAGAGCTCCAGAATACCTCACTGTCACATTTTAGAATTTTGAATACTGAGCTATTATTGCAGGGTTAATAATTGCCACTTATTTGTCATTTATAAAATTATGTTTGTATGTTTCAGATTGTCTTAGAACAGATAATATTTTTGTCCTGAAGAATCACTTTATACATGAAAGTGCTTTAAAATTAGGCATTCATTACTTTCCTAAGAAAAGAAACTCTTAAAATAGGTATGCCTTGAGCTAATTCTGATATATAAATAGTATTGAAGTTCTTACTGGGTGTTGATAATTATTTTTTATGGTTAAGATATGGGGGATATTGTAGATGTAACCAACGGTCTTATAAAATAAGAAACACAGAGCCAATTCAGAGAAGAAAGCCAAGAGGTCAGAGCTAAGAGCCTCACCCTTCCTGATTCAGGGATCCTCTCCAGCCAAGAGAGCTCTCCGAAAAGGACCTACTTCCTGTGTGTCTGTCTTTAAAGTCTTCCTGTTCTGCCTTCTCATTGGTTGTAAACCCAAACATGTGACTGCCTCGTCACTGCCTGAATGTACCGCCCTCCAGGTCCTTAAAGGCGTGCGCCACCGCCGCCACGCACTTGCTGTGACTCTAATAGCTCTGACCCCCAGACAACTTTATTTATTAACATACAATTAAAATCACATTTCAGTATAAGTAAAATACCACCACAGGATATACCTATGAAAATGAGTGTGTGTGTCCATATGTATAAATGAAGTAGCTTCACACAGATAAGCATATACTTGTAACCTGATAAAAACATGTCAATTTGAAGGTATAATTTTACCATTTCAACTTAAAAGAATAAGGAATTATATAATGATTATCTGTTAAATTGATTTATGATATTATCATTTCTGAGTCTTTATACAATGTTTGAGAATCATAGATAAACAAAGGGAATACAAAGTTAGCTGAAATGAAGGTTATCCAGCTTGAGGGTCTTAGAATTTTAGTAACACATGCTTAACTGGGCGTTGGACAGTAGTGTTTTTAGAAATAGGAACCAGGAGTCTGAAGGTAGAGGAACTTTAGGGCAGGTTTCTTATGTGCTATTGAACAAATCACTAACTCCGCTGTCATTGAGTTTTCTTGTCTCCAAGGTGATTTACACTAAAGGCTGTTCTGTGACAAACTATTGACATTGTTCACTTTAATTAACAAAGTAATTAAGGCTCAGACTATTGAAGGATTCATTCTTTTATAACAAGGATAACATAGAGAAACTACTTTAAAAAATAGAAAGTCTGTAGATATGTGTATACTTCTAAAGTGGTTTGTCATTAAAAATTTCCAACTCTGTTTTTACTTTTAAATATGTCCTCACTTTAAATATACCAGTGGCTATCTGGATGCAAGTTTCATTTAAGTGGAGGCTAACAAATACTTTATGGTATTTTAATGTAGTATTACAACCTAAAAATTTTAGAGAGAATGTGCTGGGTATTTAACTTAAAAGTTTAAAATATTTGCTTTGTTTCTAGCTGTGACTTCTTTTGGACAACCAATGATATTTATTATTGTGCCAAGTTTCTACAGATAAAAGATGGGTGGATTATTTTCTCGATGGAGGGTAAGAAAACATATTTTCTGTATTGCAAGTTTTCAAATCTAACATAAAAATGCTACATAAGTTTTTTTGTAAAGGTCTCCTTTGGGATTTACTTCTCAGTGAGTTTAATGTTTTATATTTAATTTTATTTAACTCCATTTAGAGTTACTTCTTTGCACATTATTTTGGTAGCTCTGTATATTTTATGGGTATCTAATGTCTCTAGTAATTCATTTTTATTTATGTATCTTATGCAAGTAGTTTTCTTCTCATCTTGCCCAAGTTCCAAGTTTATTTTAAAAGTAGTTGAATTTAAAAGTTTTATATTTATGGTTTTTAGAGACTCTATAATCTATTTATTAACTTACTTATCTGTTTATTTAATTACTTATTTTGGAGATAGGGTTTCACTGTGTAGCCGTGAACTCACGGAAATTTGCCCTGCCTCTGCTTTCCTAGTTCTGGGACTTAAGGAATTGTAATTTTTTTTTTAGCATGTCAGATAAATTTGCTGGTGTCACACTGAATATGCTTTTAAGTGTTATAGGTTGAACAAAATTAAAAATGAAGATTTTATTAGTTAAGCCTTTAGAGAAAGTATCTCAAATTTAGAGATATAAAATATAAATTATATTGATAAATATTCTTCTATTGTAAGAAGAGATAATATAGTCTAGGACAAACTAATTTCCTTATTTTTTTTCTTATTCCTTATCATACTAATAAAGACTAGTGATGATTTAGCCTTTGGCTTGTTAGATTAATCCATATTTTAGATTTGTGTTAAATTGACTTCCTCTTTTTAAAAAATCCACAGGTAAAATTGTATGTATTTATCATATGCAACATGATGTTTTAAAGTATGTACATTACATTACATTACATTGTTTGATCTAGCTAATTAACATAAGCATTAGTTCACATAATTACACTTTTTTGTGGTGAAAAAAATAACATTCCCTCTATTAGCATTTTTCAGGAATATAGTATGTGAGGACTAGAGAGATGGTTAAGGGTTTAAGAGCACCTGTTGCTCTTGCAAAGAGCCTGAGTTCAGTCCCCAGTACCCCAATCCAGTTATTCCAACTGCCTGGAGCTCCAGTTTCAGGGATGTGGCACTTCTGGCTTGACACCTGTACTCATGTGTGTACACACAGGCACACATGTGTATGTGCATACCTAAAACTGAAATAAACTTTTTTGAGAAAGCTCAGAAAAAGATATAGTATATCACTATAAGCTGTAGTCATCATGCTGTATGGATCTGTAGAATTTATTCTAGATGTAGTTTTGTATCCTTTGACCCCTAATCTTTCAACCCTCTAGCTCTCTACCTCCAATTTCCCTAGACTGGTAACTTTTTACTTCCTTTTTCTGTGGGATCAACTTTTTTTCATTCAATAGATGGATGAAATGACTCTTCTTTAAAAACCTATGACAGACTGAAAAATCTTATTATTCCTTTGTTTTTCTTATTTGGTTGAATTATATGAACTTCCAGTATTCTGCTTTGACATACAAAAATGGCAGTTTTGTGTGGTTCAACCTTATGTTAACAACTCTTGTAGGGACTATAGTGTAGCTGGAGTTTTCTTCAGTTCTGTCCAGGCCTGCAACCGCTCAGACCCAAATAAACACACAGAGGCTTATATTAATTAAAACTTTATGGCCTAATGGCTCAGGCTTCTTGCTAGCTAGGTCTTACATCTTAAATTAACCCATTTCTATAAATCTATACCTTGCCACGTGGCTCATGGCTTACCAGTATCTTTACATCTTGCTTCTCATGGCGGCAGCTGGCAGTGTCTCCTCACTCTTCCTTCCTGTTCCCAGAATTCTCCTCTCTGCTTATCCCACCTATACTATGCTTCCTGCCTGGCTACTGGCCAATTAGCATTTTATTTATCAATCAATCAAAGCAACACATTCACAACAGGATAAGCAGAGAGGAGAATTCTGGGAACAGGAAGGAAGAGTGAGGAGAAGCCAGCCCGCTGTCCAGGGAGCAGCATGTAATGGCACACAGTAAAGCCACGGAAAATGTGGCAATTTATAGATGAACAGAAATGGGCTGAGTTTAAGTGTTGGAGCTAGTCAGTGGTAGGCCTGAGCTAATGGCCAAGCAGTTTTAATTAATATAAGCCTGTGTGTGTTTACTTGGATCTGAGTGGTTACAGGACCAGGTGGGACACAGGAATTTTATAAGTGGCTGTGGGACCTTGATGCCAGGCAAGCACAGAAAAACTTTCAGCTACACTATTGGATTAAAATTTGTTATTGTCTTGATAAATGTTTTCTCAATTGTTATTTGAACCATTCTGGCTTATGTAAAAATACCTTTGGCAAATAATCTCTATTATAAATTATTATTAGATACTCTTTAAAAATCTAATCTTTACAAAGCTGTGTACTTGCGGCTGAAGAGATGGCTCAAAGGTTAAGAGCACTGGTTGCTCTTCCAGAGGACCTTGGCTCAATTTCTAGCACCTATATGGTGGCTCACAACTGTCTATAACTTCAATTCCAGGAGATCCAGTGCCCCTTCTGACCTCTTTGGGCACCATGGATGCATGTGTATACAGACATACATGCAGGCACACACCTATACATATTTAAAACAAGACAAACAAACAAGCAAGCAAACAGCCCTCCCAAACTGTACTTTAGGAATCAGAAGGAACTTGGAGCCTACAGATTTTGACCTCCGGAGCCCTTGTTGTGTGTCAGTGATGCAGTCAGTTAGTGTGGTGCTTACACAGAGCCCAAGGTGAACTTTCAGCGTTGTTGAATTAGACTGAAGGTAGGCTGTGAATATTTTGGTGTATGAATCCCTTTGGATGAAAATTTATTTCTCTATATAAAAGTCTGTTCTGTTGAGGTTAAGAATGGTAAAAGTAGAGCTATCACAGTTGAAAGATTTAGAAAAAGGGTTATTTTAAGAATCCTACCTGGGCAGTGATGGCGCATGTCTTCAATCTTAGCACTTTGGAGGCGGAGGCAGGCGGATCTCTGTGAGTTCAAGGCTAGCCTAGTCTACAGAGCGAGTTCCAGGACAGTCAAGCCTACACAAAGAAACTGTCTTGAAAAACAAAAATCCTACATAGATTTAGTAATTATAATTTTTATAATTTTCCAATTTTAGTTAAAACAGGTAGACATATAGCTTGATAACACTGAGAAGCCTAGTTGTGAAATAAAATGTTTTAATGACTATAAATCCAAGTGTTTTTAGTAACAAGTTTTAATGCATGTCTTATTTCTGTTTCTAAAACAGGCAAAACCTTCAACAGTAGAAGTTCTAGAAAATATAGATAAGGTATGTTTGTTGACTCTAAAGTATTTTAATTTAATATTTTAGTAATTTTATATTAGAGAAGAGATATGAGAACTTAAAAGATATTATAGAGGAATCCTGAGATCTTTAGTGTTACATGATCTCAAAAAAAAAAAAAAATCTGGTCTCTTAGTGACTTAAGAAGCCTGTATCAGGTAATAGAATATCAAGTAATAGAACCCAATAGAATGCAATTAGAGCTAGCATGGTGTAAGTCAATGTGACAGATAGCATAATAAAGGTTGCAGGCTACTGTGCAACTTTTATCAGTCTATAGATTTGACATTTTTCTCTTATTTAAAAAGTGATTTTTTTCCCCCTAGGACTATAGGGAATAGTGAATAGACTGAAATGGTGCAGTTTCAGCCACTGTTTTGATTTTTTTGTTGTTTGTTTGTTTTTGGAGACACTCTCACTGTATTATTCTGCCTGTCTGGCCTAGAACTGACTATTTAGACCAGGCCAGCCTCAAACTTGGAGAAATCTGCCTGCCTCTGCCTCCCGTGTACCAGGATTAAAGGTGTATACCACCATACCTGGCCCTACATTGTTATAATTTTTATTCTTTTTTTTTTCTTGCCAGATTTTTAAAGTCCATATATAGAGAATTAGTTTTTTTTTTCACTCAATAAGTATTTGCTGATATCTGTTTCATTTCTCCAGTTTTTACTAATTTGATAGATTAAAAATAATATTTAAGTTTAAAAAATAATTTGTTGGGAAAGGCTTATTTAGTTTTTAACTTCATTTTTAGTTTTCCTTTCCTTATGTTTGCTTTGAAATATTAGAGCATTGAATTTCATTGAATTTTAGGAATCTTATCTGATCTTTCTGTCATGTTAGTTCTTTCATTTTAATTTTTAAATGATTTATGAGATTTAATAATATGGAATACTTCTCTCTTAACAGGAAATTGAAGCACTGGAAGAATTTAGAGAAAAAAATCAGAGATTGCAGAAATTATGGGTTGGAAGATTAATTATCTATTCTTCAGTTCTTTATCTGTTTACATGCTTAATTGTGTACTTGTGGTATCTTCCTGATGAATTTACAGCAAGACTTGCCATGACACTCCCATTTTTTGCTTTTCCTTTTATGTAAGTATTCTCTTTGCTGATCTTTTCCTTTTCTGACAAGATACTTTTAGTATATTCATTCTCTTATTATTATAAAATATTAATGTCTTAGATTGAATAAATTTGGATTATTTCTGAAGTTTGATAACTTAAAAAAGTTGTAGTATAATTTCTATTCTATAGCCCAAAGAGTATATCTTAGGGATATTACCATTGTTACTAGTCATATTTTATAGTTTTCTGATAGGTGGCTGTGGTTCCTGTAGGCCAGTGTTCTCAACCTGTGGCTAGCGACCCCTTCAGAGGTCAAATGACCCTTTCACAGGGGTTGCATATCAGATATCCTGTATATTACAGTTCATAACAGTAGCAAAATTATAGTTACGAAGTAGCAACGAAAATAATTTTATAGTTGGGGATCACCACAACATGAGAAATGGTATTAAAGGGTCACAGCATTAGGAAGGCTGAGAACCACTGCTATAGGCATTGGGCATGGTATATGGTGTATGGAGTATGGTGATGAGTATGGAGCGTTTGTAAAACTGAAATAATGTGTCCAAATGCTTCTAAGTGTGTATCTTTCATCCTAACTCCTCTCTTTTTAATTATTGCTATAAGCTAATCATTCCTTCTTAAGTATTTCGTAATCTGGCACTTTATAGGAGGTGTATTTCAGCTGAGGATTTTGGGAAACAAGAAGTCTTTTCATTTAATTAGCAAACATTTATAAATAACAATTGTGTAGACATTGGGTTTTAATAGTATATGGTGAACAAAATTGGAAAATTATTGGCTATAAATTTTAGGCTATGTATATTATGTAATAAATATGATTAATGTTATGACAGAGTAATACAAAATGCTATGGGAACATTTAACAGGGGCCCTAACCCAGGCTTAGTGTGGGGACAGGGTTCTAGAAAGAATCTTGGTTGTGTTTTCCATTGTTCTCAATTTACGCAGCTTAAAACAGCACTCATTCATTATATCAGAGCTCTGAAGTTCAGAAACTCAGGCAGATCAACTGGGTCTTTGCTTAGACTCTCATAGGCCTGAGTCTCCAGAGATCAGACAGCAGTCTACTTGGAGTCTCTGGTGGGAGAAACAGCAGACTTAGATTGTTGATCAACTTCTGAATCTCTGATTTATGTGGGTAATCCATGATAACCTCCCACTTAAAATCAATAACTTTGATTATATCTGCACAGTTCCTTCACAGCACTTGTCTAGATTACTGTGTTATTTATTATATCACCCAAGGCTGCATTGGGAGGAAGGATTTCTGTGGAATTGTTTATTCCAAACTCCTGTAAAATTGATGTTTAATTTGAGGCTTGCAGAGTGGATATGTGTAAGGTGGTGTGACATGGCAGCAAGAGGAGTTGTAGCCATGACTGAAGGAGCATGGTCACATTGCATCTGCAGTTGGGAAGCAGAGTGAGGTGAATGCTGTTGCTACATTTGCATTTACCTTTTTATTAATCTGGGACCCAGCCCACAGCACGAGTCTGTCCACATGCAGTGTAGCTTTTCCTGCTTTAGGTAAGCCTCTCCGACATGTCCAGATGTCTTTCTCCTAAGTGATTCTAAATCCAGCCAAACTGACAAGATTAACCACCACATCATTATAGCCACTGAGAGTGGAGCTCTAATAATTAGAAGGAAGTAAGAGTGGATCTAGAGTAGGAAGCTAGAAGGATATTATAGTTGATAAAGAGAAATGATGAATGCTTTGTATTGGGTGGGTGGGAGAAGAGCAGATGGATTGAACGAAATTGATAGATTGGAGATTTAGAAAGTAGAATTGAGAGACTTTTGGTGATTGGTTTATTATGGGGTGAAGAGGAGGAATCGTTTCAAGGGTAAAATTCAGTTTTATAGTTTGGGATGTTTAAGAGTATTATCATTCATCAAAATAGTGAACAACGTGAGTAGGAGCAGGTTTGGTGAACCACTGTATTTTCCAATTGGAGCTGTCAAATGGATGGTTAAGTATGAGTATGAAACTTAGAGAAAAATCTAATAGGAGATAAAAATTTAGGATTTTGTAGCTTATAAATGTTAATGGAAGTCAGACCTGTAATCCCAGCTAGTTGGGGGACTGAGTCAGGAGGATCACAAGGTCAAGGCCTGCCTAAACTATAGGGAGAGTTGAGTTAGGCTGTGCAACCTACTGAGACCCTGTCTCAGAAATAGAAAGTACAGAAGGTATTCGGGAGCTATAGCTTATTGGTCGAACATTTGCTAGCGTATGTGAGGCTCTGGGTTCAAGTCCTAGTAACACACACACACACACACACACACACACACACACACACACACACACACAGACACACACACACACACACACACACAAATTTACCAAAGCCATCATCTCTTTATAAGTATTAGGCATCTGCAATGTGTTAGGTAGTGGTCTAGACCATAATAATGGGAAAAGTAGTGGTAAGAGTCTACTTTCATGGACCTTGAATTCATCTGTGATTGGCAGATGAAAAATAGAGACAAGTTAACAAAGACATAGTTAATTTGGAGAGAAATATGTGCAATGAAGGAAGTCAAATGATGTGATTAAAAAAAGGTTTCCTGAGGAAGGTCCTGGTCCTGGGAGACCTTCTTTTAGGAAGTGGTGTGAATTGAAGAACAAGTATGGAAAAAGTTTGTGAAAGACTATATGCAGCATATAGTGGCACATACACCTACAAAGTTACATATGAAGGATTATTTCCAAAATATTAGTGGTAATTCTTTCTAATGGTAGAATTTTAAGTAGTTCTTTTTGCTGGGGGATGTCTTTCTGTACTCTGTGAATATATGTTGTTCCCATTGGTTAATAAATAAGCTGCTTTGGCCTATGGCAAGGCAGCTTAGAGGCAGGTGGGAAATCCAAGGAGAGAGACAGCAAAGAGAAAGGTGGAGTCTGGAGAGACTCAAGCCAGCCACCGAAGGAGCAACATGTAACGGGATGCAGGTAATGCCACGGAATAGAATACAAAACAAAGATTGATAGAAATAGGTTAATTTAAGATATAAGAGCTAGCTAGCAAGAGCCTGCCATAGGCCATACAGTTTGTAAATAATATTAAGCGCCTGAATGATTATTTTATAAGTGGTTGCAAGACCATAGGGCTGGGCAGGACTGAAGAAAACTTCTGGCTACATCTTTTATTCTGTGTTTTCTGGTAGTGTTTGAATTTTTTTACATCAGTGTATACTTTACATTGTAAAAAAAGCAAAGTCCAGTAGCTGAGGGACGATGTTTCTAAAATAGTAAACAGAAAATGTGTAGACTGTGAACTTGAGTATATACCTATGTGAGGGGCAAAGATGACAGGCATGTTTGGAATGTGTGGAGAGAAAAATGCTGTGAAGTGAGCTTGGAGGATCAGGCAAGGTCCAGGTCATGGAAGATCAAAGCTGGGAGTAAGTCTTTCATAGTAGTTGAAATGGGAAGCTTCTATAGTGGAAGAATAGCATGATAGAAACTACATTTAGAGGGTCACAGATATGCTGTCATATGGAGTTCGGGTAAGAGGAGAGGACAAAAGTCAGATACTTAGGAAGCTGCTACACAAGTTCTTTTGTTAGCTTTTATTTTTGAGAGTGGCAGTGGCTGGCCTGGAACTCACTGTGTACACCAGGCTGGCCTCAAACCCACAGAGATCTGCTTGTTTTTGCCTCCTGAGTGCCAGGATTAAATGCTTACACCACCATGCTTGGTTTAGTAAATTTAATCTAAAGATAAAGATGGATTGGACTGCTCAGTAACACCAGAAATTACTAGATGACTTTGAAATGTTTTGGAAGTTAAAGTTGATACAATATGATAGGAGAAAATGGGATATAGAAAAAGAAGGTATTTCAGGTTTTGGTTTAGTCTTTAGTGAGGGACATATTTCTAAATTTGAACTTCCAAACTTAAGATAATTAACTTTGCATGTGCAAAGGCGAACACATTTATTTCTATGTTCATATATGAGAACTGAAATTGAGCTCATGTGTAACATTGAAGTTAATTTTCTGGGCATTGGCTGTGGGGCCTCCTCATGTACTAGGCTAGATCTGTCTCTGAGCTGTGCTGCCAGCCTCGCTCTTAGCTTATTTATTTCCCTTCTTTTTAGAAATCTTTTGGATTTTTTTAAAATTCCAAAGTAGATGAGCTTATAATGCTGAGCTCTTTTACATTGTTTCCTTTCTATTTTTCATAAAAATCAGGGAGAAAATAATATTAAAAATATGAGATAAGCTGGGCGGCAGTGGTGCATACCTTTAATCCCAGCACTCGGGAGGCAGAAGCAGGTGGATCTCTGAGTTCGAGGCCAGCCTGGTCTACAGAGCGAGTTCCAGGAAAGGCTCCAAAGCTATACAGAGAAACACTGTCTCAAAAAAAAAAAAAAGTTGATTTAAATATTTTCATAACACTAGGAAAAATACTCCTACTTGACATTCAATTCTATAGAGCAGTTGATTTTCTGATTAAAAAAGGTAAGTTATAAATGCCCAATAGAGAACTCTGTTAACTCCAATTGCTGCCCCAAATTGTGCTTTGCTGAATCTGTCACTAAATCATGAGAATTACTTTTGAGACAAATAAATCACTTTATCATAATAATTATAGTCATTATCATTGCTGACACTGGGGATGGAACCCCAAGCATCAGTTAATTTCCACTGTGTAGCTGGGGAGTTTTCTCTCCGGGCCCCACTGAGCCCCGGCAGTCCGACAAAACACACAGACGCTTATATTATTTAAACTGTTTGGCCTAATGGCTCAGGCTTCTAGCTATCTAGTTCTTATATCTTAAATTAACCCATTTTTATAAATCTATGCCTTGCCACATGGCTCGTGGCTTACTGGCATCTTCACATGCTCCTTGTCATGGTGGCGGCTGGTAGTGTCTCCCTCTGCCTTCCTGTTCTCTCAATTCTCCTCTCTGTTAGTCCCATCTATACTTCCTGCCTGGCCACTGGCCAATCAGTGTTTTGTTTATTGACCAATCAGAGCAGAGCACATTTGA